GAATGAACGAATGAACGAATGAACGAATGAACGAATGAACGAATGAACATCTGTTATACCCTGTTGGTTTGGTTTCAATTATAATTCTCAAGCTCATTAATAATTCCTGAGTTAAAAAACCATTAATTTTATGCTTGCGATAAGATCACGTATATACGTACACGTATATATCCACCGATCCAACACTGATTTAATTAGATTCAAACCAATGGATATCCAAACCCATGGTCTTTGGGTCTCATTAGCATAAAAGTAATTTCCCATTCTTTCCACTACACTTCACTCTCTTTTTCAATTTATTCTCTACTGCCTCCGTTTTTACTTATCTTAATTGTTTATTTACCTACCTATTATTTGCATAACATTATCATTTTATCTTGAATGTCCGGTGACTCGAACCGGGTACCTCTGCCGTGATATCCTATAGCCTTACCAACTACACTAACAGTGAAATCGTTGATAGTCTTGATGGGTTGAGCACTAATTGATATAAAAGACACGAAAAAACGAAATTAAAACCGAATTAATATTTATCCAGCAGCATCCAGTTTAGCATAGCTAGTCAAATGGAGCCCCAAAAGCCCAAGATTCAATTGGAAATTTATTTTGTATAAATAAAACGAACCAAATATTTATTCCAAACGTTTATTACCACTAAATCTTTTACAAAGGGATTAATAGACCTTTTTCGATTTCCAATACTACCGCTGATACGCTTTACTGCAGATCCATTTGTACAGGGTTAGCCTCGATTGCGTGTTAAAATGTTTATATATGCCAACGGGAAAGCAAAAATTGTTCAGCTTGAACAATAGAAATACTCTGAATTTCCACGAACTATTCTGATGTATTACGTGCAAGTGAGGCTAACCCTGTAAAATGTGCGTCTGCTGTGCGTTCAGCGGTCATTCACAGGGAATTCGAAACTGTAGTATTCTAAGAAGTTTATAATCTTAATTTCTTTTAGAATTTATTTTACCTAAGTAAAGTTATTTTGCATCGTCATTAATTTGGACATTGAATGTGCAATTCAGAAACTTCATTTCCATTTGGAAACAGTAAGCGCTGTTCCGTACTTTCAGTTTACTCTTACCTACGGAGAAGGGATTTGTTCCCATAGATTCATCATTATTTATTCTTGTACTATTTTACTATTTTACTTTTTTAGCTGTTTTATTCGGTTCGTTATATGGTGGCTAATTTTATGTCGATATTGAATTTATTTACGCAAAAAGAAAGAAGACCATAGGATCCAGCACAACTTCGCGCTCGCAGTGCACGGAAAATCCGTTTCATTCGTTTTATTATATGGTTACCAATTTTATTTCGATGTTTATATTTATACTATACACTCAACAAAATCGAGCAATTTAATTAGACTTTAAGAAAACAACTGAATTTGGACAGTCAAACGCCACCGAAACAATATACATTGATATGTAGAACAATTAATCTGATGAAATACATTTTTCCTCATTTTTCAATCTGCACTATTGTTATGCCCCTTAAAAATATTTGTTTTTAACCCGCTGTCATAAATGATCGATCGTAAATTATATTTTCCAATAGAATTAATTTATCAACCACATCGCTAAGAATTAGCTTGAAAACATTTATGTTTTCCCTAGCTTGAAGTAATAGGCCCTTTGCAGTTAACGGTCACGTGTCTGGACTGGACTGCAAAATTTTTGTTTTTATATTAAATTGGTGATTCATTTTAGCTACTTATAAAGAACTGAATGAAAACATGTGTATCCAGTGATCCAGTGTGTTAAGAAATGCAGTTTTATTACGATCTCTCGAAACAGGCTGTAGAAAGTTTGCTTGCAGTACAGTAAATTTCACCCATAGGAATCAAAATGTTCATTTATTAGCTATCAGTGAATTAATCAGCACGTGATTGCTTAGCTGCAAAAGGCCTATTTAAAGCGCTGGAGTTTTGAGAGTATTTGCCGCCTAGACTTGGAATTTTACACGAAACCGCCGAAAGTCCAATCAAAACATTAGCAGCATTGGTCATGCGTGAAGCGAATTTGCTGTAACATTTATTATTATATATTTTTTCCAGTTCTATAACCGACAGTCAGCTGGAATCTATTGGGGATGAAACGTTTGTACGAATGAGGAATCTAAGAAGACTGTAAATAAACCTTGCTTTAGTTCCTAATCTATCTTTGTTTTTCATTGTATTTTTTATTACTACTCTCCCCTGCTCCTTTTATATCTTTATTTAGTATCCTTCTCTTTTTCTTTTCTTTTCTATCAGTCTCTGATCTATATTATTATTATTTTATCTTATGTTTTATGATCTACAGTCTGTCGTTTTTCCCCCGGAAAACGTTTTATAATACAATATTTTACAATATTTATTTACAAAATTAAATTTAGTTACATAATTATAATACACTTCGAATTCCTCGCAAATAGCAGAGCTAATCAGGGCGGTTTTGTGTTCAACAAAAGAAAAGGAAACAAAAGACAAATATCTAGCTTATTTTACAAAACTATCTCTCTATGCTTAACAGAATTAATATGAGACTTATTTATAGTTTATAGTTTATAATATTTATAGTTGATTTACACGCAATTTATATAAAATAATAAAAAAAGTAATGTTTGCAACGTTTGTGCTGGGGGCTGCAGAGGGGTTAAGGCCATAGAAGTGTTTGAGAGAACAATTACTCAAATATATAACGAGTGGATACTGGAACAAGAAAATGCAGTATTAGGAAAAGAATAGAGTTAAGGCACTAGATCACTAACATGTGTAATAAAGTAGATAAACACTATTATATTCTCTTCTCGAGTCTACTTGACTATTACATATTTAGTATTAGGCGTTTCACATTTTTATGTTTTCACTCTGACATGTAAGTGTTGGTGGAGAGTAACACTGGAAAATAACTTGCTCTACTTAATTAAAGACAAAGCTAAAAAACAACTTTATTTAACATTATTGTTATAAAGGACATGCAAATATAGTAACATCATTATAAACATATTATTAAAGTGCATTCTGCATAGAGTACAAACATTAAAAGCGTGCAATACTATAGGAAAACTCATTGGCTGACGAGGGAATTCCAAGTTGAATTCACGAGAAGAGGCGATATCGCCTTTCCGAGTGAATTCGACTTGGAATTCCCGAGTCAAGCCAATGAATTTTTTTTTGAATCCCATGACAATATTCAATCTAAGCGAATATAAAGAAGAAAAAAGAAAAAAATCGTGCGAGTTCAAGAAAACCTTGGCCCACGAAGGAAACCATTCTGATGCCATCCTCCCAACCAATAGGAATTCCGCTCAAGGGTGATCGTTTGATCTTTTGGTTTGAACATCGTGGCAAGCAGAATAATATTTGCTGCTGTGGAAAAAACTAACTGTTTATTCTCAAAAATCGCCGTCGCTGCAATACTTCTTTTAATCTATTACAACAATAATGACCTTTTCTCGTCTTGATCGAAATTTAAGGCAGTTCAGCAGTTTAAATGTGCGAAAATGTCATGCAAAACAAAGAAGCTAACTGGTGAGTACACAAAACTTTTAAGCCTAGACTTTTCTCTGAATTACACATTCAATTACTAAATAGACTAACGACTAAATGAAATCAAAATAAGTAATTTCCTTTTTCATATTCTTCTTCTTTTTTTACTTTTGCGTAGTTCAGTTAGTGTTGGATGAAGAAAGAGCTAGCGATGGACACCGTCCTGTAGACTGATGGAAATATTCACCGGTGACTTGTTACATGTGACTCCGGTAAACAGTATACTTACGGCTCCGCTCAACCCAAGACCATTTTATGGGGCTTCGGCAGCTTTACTTGTTTGGTTCACCTGATGACATCTACATCGGCAGATATTTCATTCAAGGTATTTCTTGCTGGTGATCTTGAACTTTCAACTTTTAACGTACTGACCCTACTAATACTTTGACTGCAAGGAGAAAATCCAGCCAGCTTGTGGGACATTCTGCGTTGTTTTTCCAATGGGTTATGGCTGTAACTCGATATCGATTCTGGTTTTAGCATGGTCAGTCAATTCTGAAATTTTCAGCGGGTCGAAATCTTCTCACAAGGCTTGGATTGCTGTCTTACGGCCACACGAATTCGTACATTTGCCTTCTATGGAAGCTATGTCGGCAATCTTCTTCATCATCTTAGACAAAGTGTTTATTCCAACCGGTGACATTTTATAGCACACTTCAGATGTTGGCTTGTCAATTGGACTTAAGAACAGATTTTTTTGGGACTTGTTCACCTTTTGGTCGATGTTCCAAGTACTCAACAGAAGCACGGTATGGATCGCGTTCGCCGCCATTGGTCCTCCAKATTTTATTGTCGTACTTTCTTGTTCTTTTCCTGCTATTCTCGTCTCCTTGGCGGTTCTTGATTTGGCGCTCTTTGTACTCTATGAAGTACTCTGGATGGTAAAATCATAAATTGTACAGTCGTACTGCTCCTGGAAAGCCCTTATTCTCATAGATAGGTGACATTATTCCACCAAACAAAATGGAGGAGAGATCTTGAAGTGTGCAAGCCTAAAGCACCTGAAGACCACATTTTCTCGACTTCCTTGTCTTCTAACGACCTGGCAGCATTTCGTTTTGTCCCTAAGCCTTTCTTCTTGAGATCTTTTTTCTTCATTGACAGCATTGTTGCGACCTCTTCAAACTCTACATCTGCTTCTTTATCGATGTCGAAGTTGTCGGGGGAAGGAGGACATGGCCGCTCAAGGAAAAACTTTCGCAGGCCGTTGCGATACGTCTGAAGAGAACCTGGCTGATATTCTTTGCCCTTGTTATCTTTGGTTGTCTGGCGTATTTCTAGAAAGAAGTGCTTCGAAAGGTAAGGTGCTTTTTTCTTTGATATCTGGTTTAAGTCGACTTCTTTCTTATATTTTTCTCTGCACCATGACTGAAAATGGCGTACATATGTAGTTGTGATTTTTCCGCGACCAAATTCTTTTTAAACTCCAGGATTTCTTCATCTGTGTACTCGACAATAGTAGAATTCTTTTCATTTCACTTGGGGCAGACAGACTTTTCGGTACTTTTCTCGGTGTCCGTGACACTTTTTTCGCTTAATGTCTTTTCTTTCCAGGATGAAGTTGATGCTGCCTCCATRTTGGCARCYTKTCTCTTTTTTCTTGTTGTTGCAARCGTTAATGGTTTTCTCAACTTTTGWATCTCAGCGTCTAGCTGAATACTAAAATTTGGGAACTCAAGTTTTGCAATTCTCAAACTAAACAAAGCAAAGATAGTGTGACAGACTAAAATCTTTGTATTTTGAGGTGAATGCGAGAACAACAACAACACCTCGCAGAATCCCTGTATATCGTGCTATTCAGTTTTTCAAACCATGGTATTTCACGCTAAATATACCCACTCTCGGTAGCCAATCAGCGCGCGAGATTGAATAGTGTCATGGGATTCTTTGCACTATTTAGAACTAAATAGCACTAATTACATAATAGAAAACGATAGAATTAGCACAATTTCACATTATTTAGTACTGTTTATGTTGCACAATATTAGTGTCTGTACTGTATCAATTAAAGTTAATTGAATATGTATTGTCGAATTGCAGTCATTCGAACAAGGTTACTAATAAGAATAGTGTATTTATTAGTGTTATAATAACAATATGTATTCCTTATTTTGAAGGTTTTCTGTGTCTATTTTTAGTTTTTCATAAAACTAAATGGTTGATGAGTAAAGGTTGGTTCATACTTTAACTTGAATATAAACATAAGCATAATAAACTGAAGTAAAGTCCAATAAAGTCCAATAAGGCGAGGGGGACTAAGACTCTCGACTTCGATTACGAACAAAAAAAAACCTATATGCGCTGCATTTTAAGACTCGTGTCCCCGGCCTAATGGCCCGGGCACGGATAATTAGATAAAGCTTTATTGCTTGAACTGTTTACTGATATGTTTCTTTTTATTAATATATATACGTTACTTACACCTTAACGCTTTGGAAATTTGCCCACCAAGTGTTCATTATAAAGAAAGTTTGACGTTTTCGAGTTTTTGAAAGCGAAGTAAGCTTATAAAAAAATATATATATATACAAAATAGAGGGTATTATGGTTATTTGGAAAAAAAAAATTGCCTAAACTTTATCATTCTTATTTATAGAAGAACAACTGATTATACGATTTCTTTGTCATTCAAACAATTTGTAAGCATTAATAAATTAAATTTTTTTTGAAGCGTAAGATTGAAAGAAGACAAGCACTTTTTGTAAGATATTTTGCACTCACCTGTAGCAGAAAGTGCAAGATATATAGCTTGTGATTTTCCTGATCCTTGTAAAACATCGTCAGGAAAAAATTTTGGTCATGAAAAATGTAAAAAAGAAGAATAATTTTTTCAGAGAACCATTGCATTCAGAAAACAGAAGTTCATATTTAAAAAAAAAGTGTTTTAATGACTGCGTTTTTGATTGTTTTGTTCGTAGTGCACGTGTTTATCACGTACTGTTATGTTAGTATGGGGAATTAACATGTTCGTAGTATAATGGTAGTGCAAGTTAGTTTCGATTATCCAGGTATCGTATACAGTGCAACAGGCGGTTTATTTAGGTTTTTTCTTTCCCTGTGTGTCAACTGACAATTTACTGAAGAGTGATCCAAAAGACATCACGTTCTCGTTTGTTAATAGACTAGACGCCCGCAGTGGCGCTTACTCGGGGTTCTTCCGTGTTTAAATAATAAAGTTGTCGACCTTCAATTCCACGTGGTAGACTTTCCAAGTCATTTTTAGTCGTAGATTCTCATTCCTGTTCACTGATTATGAAATAAAATAATGCTTTAACTCCGCCCTTTCATAATCACTTGACAACATAGTGACTTGTCGGGGAAGAATCAGGGGAAAAAACGAAAGTATTTTAAGGGCGGATTACCACAGGTAACCTGCTAAAAAAAGAAGAAAAAAAGGATTTTATGAGCGGTTTACCATAGGTAACCCCCTAATAACATAATATGCTTCTGTACACTATTTTGATCAATAGCGTTCTCTAGTATATTGAAACTAAACTCATCAAGAACATTAACTGATGACGTCTTCTACTGACGTGAAATTCGATACACAACAAATACTTTCGCATGTATAATGATATCATTGATTTTATAGGCAATTAT